TACCGCTATTCAGTTTAACCTCACAGAAGGCAGGGCGGTAAAACGGATTTCAGTTAGTCAAACTTAGAAACTGCGCATATACTCATGAGTCCAAAGCGGACTGCCGGTTTTCTATTAATGCTATCATATGACCGTCACGGCACTTAATGGGTAAGTCCTAAGTGCACTGTCTATGATCAACTTAGATCTGATCGTGATTATAAATTTCCGTGCAGTGGTCACAGCACTCCTGTCTTAAGCGTTTTATCGAAGCAAAGTAATGAGCTCTTTCGACAGTCAGCTTGACGGTGTCTGACGTCCTTGTCCGAGGCCCGCAGCGAGTGGTTCCCGATTCGCTGACCCGCAGCCATTTGACCCACTTACGCTCAGTGGCGGCTGCCCACTTACCACTTAAACACGCTGCTCTTCGGCCGTGGGGCCACTTTCACGTATTGCTCCATATAAAGAAGGCTCTGAAACCATGAATTGATCTTTTGCGCCTCCTGGAATAGATGACTGTTGTCTTTTACTGTGCCCTTTGTAAACAAAAATGTAGAAAAAGTAGCACTAAGAGTACATGGACATTGCACATTTTGGGGCGGTCTCGGCTTTTCCTTCATCACTGCCGCAATAGTTACGCGACAAACCGTGTTTCCGATCAGTCGTTTTAAATTAAGATGCTGCCTTTACCGATTAACACTTTAACGCTGTAAAAATATAAACGCAATAACCGCATGCGTAATTAATTTACACTTCCGACATTGAGAAGCTTATTCTAGGGAATAGCAGGCCACACAATATTTAATCTCACTGTCTTTTCCAATCTCCACACCAGGTACTTTGCATGTAAAGCATTATGTACCTTCTTTAATTAATATTAAGACGAGTATAAAGCTCTTCCACATGCGAAGATGAGCGAAGCTGCCTCTTGCTTTGTTTTTAATCGTAAAATCTCAGAAGCTGTTTGTCTACTAAATTGAAATGACAATTCAAGCCATAAGATGCTCTTTTTTTCAAGAAATATTACTGCGTCAGTTGACTTTTAAGGATTGTGAACTCATGTTGCTTTATATCGGCATTCGTGGTTGATCTTTCCTTGCACCTTTTCTAACCATCTAGAGAAACCACACCTTTTTATTTATAGGTTAACTAAATGGGATGTTAATTTGCAGCTGTTTTGTGATATTGGTCTTCATATACGTATATTCAAAAGGACTCAGGCCTTTCCTTCACTTTCAAACGAGGACTCATTCTATTATAGCGTAAACGTTTGAGAAAACTTTATTTCTCCTGCAATATATGTGATCTAAGAATGTATTTTTAGTCCACAAGTGCGCATGTTCGTTCATTAGACCTCAAACATTTAAACATCGATGTCACTTTTCAGGAATTAAGGTA